GGTTATTATTCATCAATTTTGGGGAAAATTATGTATAAAGTTTGTCATCTGTCGTCATTTTATATGAAAATAGAATTTTGCCACAATCATCCGTTTTCAGTAGACCCACTCCAATGATTGTAGCTTACTTGCGTAAACACCTGATTCTTGGTCATTGCAAAGATGCATACACATGTTGCACGTTAGATGTAGTTTTTGACCGTGAACACACACACTACAGCGACACTTTGAGACATGCGTTTTTTTTATCCGCCAGTGCGCCTTATTAACTAGCAGTGTCTGTCTGCTGTCGCTTGCGATCAAAACGACAACACCACCCATGGTTACTGTGGATGTCCTGCAGGCTGCGTTTTAAGGCGTCATCCGTACGTTTGTGCGATTATCTTGCACTAATGCAACAGAACGTTGCAGCCACTATTCTTGGTGATGTTGCATGTTTCTTTGCTTGTAAGACTCAGTTGCAGCGATGTCTAAGCCAAGGCTTTATTGAAGTTCTTGCGAAGTTGGGCTAGCAAGCTCATAACGAATGTTTGCTCTTGTTTTGCCGTGCGTCTCAAAATAACAGCAACCCGTCTGCACTATTTATGTGCTGCAGAATCGCACTTAACCCTTGCCGCTATTAAGGAAGCAAACGTGGTGCCAATTCATTCACTTGGATTTTTAAAACCTTGGCGTTAAAGTTAAGCTCCCTCACAACATCGCTTGACTGTTCTCCCCTTTGCTGCCGCGCTGAACGAAAAATGAAATCAACCAATTTTTGGAAGAAAATCAATTATTCCAGCGCTTTATTGGTGATTGAATCATATTTGATTAAAATTCGGTTAAATTTGAATCTCACTGTGCAGTGCTGTTTCATGACCTAGGAATTCTATATCAAATTTCATCAAAACCCATTCAGCCGTGTTAGTTTAAAAATGGAATAATAGAATATACAAGACGTACATTTTCCGGGACCAAAAGTGTCTTGTGCGTTATCCAAGACCTAACCTTCGTCAAAATCCGTTCAACGATTTTGAGATGAAGAGGGATTTACTGAATTACGCTCCAAATGTATATTAGATCCCAAATCCAAATGTATTTCAGAAACCGCACATTTTTCCGGAATAAAAATGCCTATGTCAATCTCCGGTCTATAAACGTCTTAATAGTGGTAGAGCCACGCGGCAGCTTTTGCTGTCGCACGGATGGGGCGGCTCGAACCGGGGTGGTACCACGACCTCACAGAATACCAGTGTGAAGTAGAGGTTTACCTCTGCGTTTCGCTTGGTGAGTGCAGGTGGCCGGAGGCCTTTTTTACTGGGAATGAGGCATTCCATCTTAGTCCTCACGGGTGACAACGCATCTGCATTTTGATTCGCAAACGAGGGTAGATGTAGATGTCTATGGGCCGCAGCAACCACTTACCATCAGGTGGACTGTGTGCTCGTTTTTCACCCATATCCTATAAAAAAAAACTCCGTGATAAAAGTTCCTGCGTGACAAAAGGACAAACAAAAAAAAAACATATTTTCGCATTATTAAGTAGGGATGTAATTTTTCTTACTATTTAAATAATAATACTTCACCACTGATCACCCCATTCATCCGTGCCCATCATCAGCACCTAAAATTGTAAGTTACTTAATTCCAATTTTAATGTAAATTTTTATGAAGGTGTCACTTTTCATCAACTCGAACTCAATATTTAAGCTTCCGTAATGTTATTTGTCGACAAATTCTAGCACTATAATGTCATAATTTTATGATGATCCGATTTTTTTCGTGAAGTATATGTCAGCGTATTTGTGTTACTCTACTTACATAATGTTGAAAGCCCTATAATCATACATTGCAAAAGCGATGTTACACCGGTAAACATATTATAAGTTCAGTTACAAGAATGTTATAATTAAAGTTTCATTTATTATTCTCTATACACTTAGAAATAGTTTTTAAATTATCATCTGCGGCTATGTCGGACGAAAAAGGTCGATAGCCAGGATTAGGCGGTGCAGTTAAACATTAAATTGATCTACTCGTATCTATAGAGTTACCCTTAAGGTGAGAATTTTTTAAATATTTTTTTCCTGTAATTTTATATTATGCAACGAATTTCAGGCTTATCAGCCGACTTCATGCGTGGAGGAGGTTCTAAATTTGACTGTATGTAATTTTTTTGTTTTGTTTTTTATATTACGCAACAACTTTGCCAATGACGGTTAATAATTTTATGCTAGAATGAGGTGATTTTGTTTATCATAGAAACGGTCACAAAAATTTTCGGTTTCTAGTGTATGTATACATACACAAAAAATGCATCAGGGGTGTGGTCTTAATTTTTTTTTCACATTTTTAACTTATTTTTATTTCTTCTACTCTTAGAAATGTCCGTAGTTTGGTTTATCCATTTCTAATTTGATTATTATAAAATATACCTAATATTTCAGAAAGAAATATCACTCTCTATATTTCCCACGCCATGAAATCTGCCAAATGTTACACCTCAATTTAAAGTGGTGCCGCCATGGTGGTAGAAAAAGTTATGGATGCCCCGTGTGTTTTTCATTGTGTACCGACTTTAATATATTTTTGAATCATTCTCGTTCGCCATGCTGAACGTAGGCCTCGACCAAGAAAAGCCACAAAACACGCTCCTGAACAACCTGCATCCAACGATTGTCTGTATCTTTTGCCAAGTAACTTAGTTACATGTCTGGCGCCGTGGTCTGGCGTAAGCGAGCTGATTACGCCATTATCAATCGGAAGCCATGAGATCTTTCTGTACTTGTGTGCACTTTCCATAATCTATTTTACGACACTCACTTCGCCATTCGGTAATTTTTGTCTGTTTTAAACAATCAAAAGAATTGAATTTCAAACAAAGAAGTAATAGAAACTTCCTCTTTTGGACGACTGCAAAAAAATAGCGCAAATGTTTACCAAGGTCAAAAATCAAATAAATACCAAATGTTACAAGTATCATACATACAAACAAGCTACATTAAAATTGCAGGTTTCTACACAAACAGAAACCCGTCTTATTTTATTTAAATTAACCGTGTCTTGTTTTGAACTTTCTCTTTCTAAACTCGCGGAAATTTTCGAATTGGTTAACAAAGTTGTATAACCGTCTTGTTTCTTCCGTAAATTGTCAATTCTTCGAAATCAAATTTATAAACCTGTTAATTGTTAACTTTTAATAACTATCCACTAGATCTTAGTAGCCCTTAGATATTTTACACATTCCTATATTTTTGTTTTTACCAGTTATCTGCCTTATCTAGGCGGACTAAAGATGACTAACGGTAACTAAAGGTATTTTATGTCTTTTTGGTAGTAGAATCAGATCTGGTTCTACTCAGAATTCCCTTTGGGTTATGCCTCCAGAATCCTAGAAATGAAGCCATACCATCAAATGTTTTAGGGTGGTGATAGAATGAAATCAAAACTTAGGATTCGAGAAAGCGATATAGTTATTATTATGTACTGTTTTCATACCTGACGTACATATACATAAATTGTATTAACTGATTTCGACATTTGAATTCTTAATTGTACGAAATAGTCGGTAGTGTAGAAGACATGGTCATTATTTCTGTAATAAAATTCATTGCCATTTTTAAATTATTTGATATAAAGTTCTATCATATAATTATTTCATAATATTAATATTGCATACAATTTCGTGTTGAGTGTAACAATTAAGCACGGTCTACGCGTTTTTCTTTACTTATATTTCGTAGGTTAGGTTTTAATATTTCATTTAAAATTTTTAGAGCATATTTCAGTGTTTTTTTAAATGTATCAAAAATATTCTTAAGTTCTAATTGTCCAAAAATAAATTAATTGTTAATATCTTCTTATTTTATTTAATATTAACTTGGTGCGTTATTTTCATCAAAATAACCAGTTTAAGGCTGGTATAACTGATTTAACGTAATATATATATATTAAATGGTAGGAAGGTATAATTGGGTACAAACTCGGCAAATGAAATGTGGCTTTAATCTGGTACTATTGATAATATGAGTAGAATGTTGAAATGCCGTGACACCATTTTATATTATAGATTAAATTCAGGTATACTGTGTCACAACTAAGATCATTATCATAATATGGAACTTAAGGGAACACAGTATTTATCGCTTATTAACTTAACAGATGTGTTTTCGAGATAAGAAAAAGGAGTAAAATATATACATGCTTAAGAAATGTAAATTGTGTGCGTTAACTAAGTTTTATAATTCTATTATTGATATTGAAGTTTTTAATGGGTATCTTGTCTGGTTGAGATATATAAAAATGAAAAATAATAAAATATATAATGAACATAATATTTTTATAAAACAAAGCAAAATAAACAAATAAATATAAACTCAACCAGATGGGGACGCGGCATGGGAGCAAACGGTCAAGGGTTAGAGGGAAAAAGAAAGAAATAGGGGTACAATGGGGGCGGTAACGAGAGAGCACCTTTTCTCAGTCAATGATCAGTTGGTGTGAGTTGGTGAGCAAAGTCGCTCCAGATGACCCAAGATACTGATCAGGATTAAAATGTTCGCAGAAACGACTACAGGAATAATTTCCGTAGGCAAACCATCACACATATCGGTCACCTCGTGAACCTAGCCCATTACTGATATTATTTTTACTTGCGCCACTTACTCAGTTCACCCGTCTTTGATGCCGCACCGGCTCTAAACGAGATACCCCTGAGAAACTTTTTTTTTATAGGGCAAGGGTGACAAAGATGCACACAGTTCACCTGATGGTACGTGGATACTGTGGCCCATAGACATCTACAATCCTCGACTACGAATCAAAATGCAGATGCGTTGTTACCCGTGAGGACTAAGATTGAATGCCTCGTTTCCAGTAAAAGGGGTCTCCGGTTCTCTAAACTCAGATGAATGGTTGCAAAAATGTCTAAGCAGGTAGCATCCCGCAGTAGAGCTTTTCTCCTATCCCAAGTAACCAAAGTCTACAACATCAACTTTAATATCAAATGGATAAAATCTTACCCGGTCGCCAACGGGGAACAGTGACGAAAAGCTTGTTCTTCCATCTTTCAATGCCCACTGGAAGGGCATTTTCCGGAATAAACGCCCCAGTCAGAATGGATTCCTGCTTTAGATATTCGTCAGGATAGTTCCAGTCCAAGACATTCCACGAAAACACTTCTTGCAGTTTCACAGCCGCCGATGCATAGGTCACAAGACCAAAGAAAAGGAGTTTCAGCAACATAATGCGATATCTAAGGCACAGAAAATGTGTTTGTCAATAAACTTGATGTTTTCATATTTTCCATCCATGGAGATATTATATAATATGTAATTATATGCAAGCCGTCCATTGAGTAAAATATAATTTGATGCAAAATCTTACTACAATGATGATGTTATAATTTTTTGAGAAAATTTGCTTTGTATTTTTTTTTATTATTATAAAAAATTTATTAAAGTTAATGTGTTCAAGTTGTGGCTCAAGTAGTTTTTTAAAATGTATTAATAATTAAATTATACATGCAAAACAATATTAAGAGATATAAATATTATAATTAACTAAGTTAAAGTCTGGTATATATCCCTCAACAAGAATAAAAAACGTAAGTCTAGTTTGAAACAAAAAAAGGAAAACGTGAACTGGTAAAAAATATATTAAAAAGAAATATTGTTGTAAATATAATGAGTGATGGGCATCAATTAACAGTTCCTTTTAGGTAACCCTAATTAAAATTATTTAATTATCATAATATTGAAATGTTACAATGCTTAAAAATATTAGAATTACAAATAATATAGAAAACAAGAAAAAGAAAACGCATTCAACATTATACAATAATATTATTGCAATCGTAACTTTATGCTACATAAAAAAATTGGTATTAATTTTAAATGCTTATAAGATATTGATTTGTAGCAAGTTTTTACGGAATTAATTTAAAAACCGAGTACCTACGTTATTACGTAGATACTATAGGTAAGACTGAGTGAAATAAATAAAACATATTAAAACTAATAGTGTACAGTGAATGAAATACATTTATCAATCCGGGTTAGAACCTACGTCATCAGCAACATTCCTTAAAACCTAAAGTGGTTGTTATTGAACTCGATACGAGAGAAAGTCAAAAACGTGAACTAGTTTAATTTCTTTGACGCAACATTCAAATAACAGACGTCTAAGATTTTAAGGTTAGTTGAACAATTATGTAATGAGGAAATGGAATTTCCATGTTCGGAAGTAGCCAAAACCACTACCATATAGTTGACAACAAAACATACCTTTTAAACCGTTCATATTTGTTAAAATAATGGCTTTAGGGTGATTTATTGCTTTAAGCGTAATTGACACTCAATCAATTTGAAAGATATAGGTTAATCTACGTGGCACTATTGAATAAATACTATATGTATATGTTAGTAATTGAGTTCCTGTAGTATGTCAACGATAATAATTAACAAACCACGACTTTATCATTATTTATGTTCTTGCGTAAAGTTTTTGAGAGGTTTTATTACGTAACTAATCAATATTTTCGATATTTTTAAAGTTAAAACGTTAGTAAATTAACGTATCTTTGGTTACTTAAACGAGTTTAAAAATATAACACTGTTAGGTTTTCTACCTAGGAATCGGTGTAGTGACAGCCTTCTTACTTTTTTTGCTGCTAAGTCGCACTGCCAGCACCAGTATAATTACATTCTGTACTGTATTCTGTCTTAGTACTTAGAGGTGACAACGCATTTGTAACCTTTTTCTTTTGAAGTTGCCACTGCCGCTGGTTAGTCGCTACCGCTGTCCAACTTCAAGAAAGAAGGCTGCACATCACATGTGAGGACTTAGGTTAAATGTCTTACTGTCAGTAATTATATAGGTTCTTCAGACTCGAACACCGTAGCAAAAGCACTGCTTAGCGACATAAGCAGGCATAAGCAAGAGACCTGCTTAGTCCAAAGCAGAAAATGATCACCATACGATGATCATTCGATTATGATCATCGATGTCGATCATTAAGTACCTTATTATTTTCAAGATTTTAAAAATTTAATATTTTTATCATTGTGAAAAGTTCACCGCTATAGCTTTTAGTGTCTACGACTTCTTTGTAGGTAAATTTGTGCGACTCGTATATTTAAAGCTTTTTAGTTTTTACACGATTGAACTACTATGAAATTTACATTTAATATAATATTTAAACGTTACTTATTTTTGTGCATTTTGTATTGTTCCCTGTTATATTTTACATTGATAACATTTCAATGTTATATTAATAACATTACAAAAAGACTGAAAAAAAAAAAACTTACGGTTACTCGTCCATTATTAATTAAATTAGTATATTAAAGAATCATATATATTACCTTACTATATTATAATTCTTTAAACGCTAGTCAATTAAGGTTATAGCGGCAATCACTACTAACTTTCATAAACACATTAGGCCACTGTATGTTTATTTTGTGTTAGTATAATCTAAGCAGATTACGTACATTGTGTCAGTGCCTTCAATGGTCCACCGCGGCTGTTCACTTTTGACTAACTTCCACTGAATTACCCCCGACTATTTAAAACCTTACCGCCATCTCCTCCATTGAATACGTAGCGAGGAAATGAGTGTAGACTTAAGAAATATTTAGACAGGTATTTCATGAATCGCTGTTAAGGCTATGTTTGGTGGTCATTATTGTATCTATGTGCAGAATAGAAATAACATTTGTGTACATTATTCTTGTATGAAATAATTTTTTAATATTCATTTTTTACCATTTTCGCGGATTTTGGGATATTCACGATAGTTGACTTAACTTTATTCTAAAATATGTTGTGCATGAACTCACAACATAAAATATAATATACTTCTAGATTCTAAAACAATTCCGTCGGTCAGGTAAATTAGGTTAAAATAAAAATGTGTGGATGAATACGTTTTCTACCTATATCGAGTATACCTTAGACTATACAAAAATACATAAAAGTATATTTAAGTACCGTTTTATATCATATCTTACAGTTATAAGTGTAATTGCTACATTATTTTATTCGTAAAGGGTTTAAACTAATATAATTTATATATATTTTTGAAATATAAATAAGGCTTCAGCATAATCCTTTGTATTTGTATTTTTTGAATACTGCTCTCCGCAGTATTCAAAATAAATACCAAAACTTCTCAGTTTTTCTCATAGGTTTTCCTGGCAATCTATAATTTTTAAGCCTGCACACACGCCCACATTGGTGTATATGTGAACTTAGTACGCTCTACATCTTTTGTACAGTATGTACAAGGACTCAGTTTTAGAAAGTATTTCTAAATAATCATTTCAAAACTTTTATGAACCTCCTCAATTACATTCAAGCTATATTTATATAATAATATATTTTTTATTTATTTAAGTATGTATCGAATGAAAAAATATTGCATGGTGGTACATTGTTCATAGAAAATCCTATAGATTATATAGCTTTTTTCTCTGTATTAATATTAGGTATTTGGATATTTTATATATTTAATAATTTAATCAGTCAATATATTTTTATTGAACACATTAAAACAAAAAAAATAATAATCTAGTGTATTTTAAACTTTTTGATTTTAATAATGAATGAAATATGCTCCATGGTATAGAACGGTTAGCAAGATAGGAATTTTAGAAGAAAAAAGGAATGGATGTAATTAGAATAAATTTTGAAGAAGTTTAATCTTGTCAAGTTTAAGAGCTACTTTGATATATGTGTGTAGAGTTAATAATTGAAGTTTTACTACTGAGTTTTGATCGTGTTGCCCATCCAACAGCTTTTTGTGATCAAGGGTCCAGGTAACCCACCTAGTTTTTTTACTCGCCTCGGGGCTATGTAATTTTGACCGGCCCGATCAAGTGTGGTCAAGTGTCACACAGGTAGACTGTGACTGTAAATGTTAAACAGTCTAAAAACTACAAGGCCCAAAAAAATTAAATGCTCCACCCTCTGTTAAATTTTCGTACCCGACTTGCACCCGAACCGCATGTGAGTAGATCGTACAAGGCTCAATCTGTACGCCTACTTTTGGTTGATTACCTTAAATTCAAATTCTCATCATCAATTTCTCCTGTTTCCGATTCACCCTTACGTAGGGAAGACCACTCCTCCTTTTACACAACTCTGACACCCACAGCGCTGTTCACTAGACCATAGTTAACAATGACGTTACGACGTAACATTACTCGCCATCCAAGCCAAATACATAATGTGCTCAGAATACCCACCATCTTGTTTGATTCGTTAGCCATGATCATGTGCGTGGACCCTGGAACACTGGATCGATCCAGTATGGTGCTTTGGGTGTATGCGTTTAGGGTGTGACGTTGTTTGTGTGCGTAAACGAATGTTCCCATTTATATCCAAAATGGTTTCGATTTAGATACGGTTTTTGTAAGCAAAAGTTTTGGCAGTGTAGGTATTTATTTTAATGATTATTTTATTTATTCAAAGGGATATACCCTAAGGGCGTGGAATTAACGAAAAAATAACAACTCCCACGGTGAAAAAATAGATGATGAAGTTTTTAATGTAACTATTTAGACAAAGTTCTGGTTGTTACCTTGAAAGCTTGAGGTTTCAACCATGTGTATGTGATGTGGAGTCATTATTTAATTGAGGACTGATTTTTTAATTAGAAGAAGTTTTAAAAAAAAACTGACATTAATCTTTAAATATATATTGAAAAAAATCTTATTGTATCTTCAACAACCTGGACTCAAACTTTGAGGTGTCGGTGAAAAAAACCTTAATTTTGTTACATTTCCAGCGTTTCTGGCTTTGAACATAGTGTCAGTGATTTCGATAAAATATTTCTAAATAATAAGGAAGACCTATGCTTTGCTGCGGAGATAATGCATCATGGCAAACACCTTATTCCAGCAAGAGTATTCCACTGCAAGCTAACGAACAGAAAGAGTGAGATATTTTGATGGTAAAGATTCAAAATTTTTAATTGAAAAGTGTGAATAAAGATTTTTTAAGGACTACGATGGAATGCCTTTTCTACAGTAAAAAGGGTTCTCTACACTCACCATACGAAACACAGCAGAGTTAAGCTGCTATTTTACGCTGGTATTCTGTGAGAGCGTGGTCTTTACCCGGTCGAGCCGACCCAGTCGTGCTACCACTATACAGTTAATATAGCTGCAGCATGTTTCTACCACGTGTCTATGAGAAATTAGTACATTTTTGTAGTGTGCTGTAGAAGCTACCGCTCCGTG